GTGCTGGATACAGTATCCTTGGTTCAAGGCCCTTCTGTTTCATTGCATTAAATATATCATGCCATTCTCTTCTGGCCTGTAAGGTTTCTGTTGAGAAGTCTGATGATAGCCTGATGAGTTTTACTTTGTAGGTGACCTTTTTCCTCTCTCTAGCTGCCTTTAAAACTCTGTCCTTGTCCTTGATCTTTGCCATTTTAATTATTATGTGTCTTGGTGTTGTCCTCCTTGGGTCCCTTCTGTTGGGAGTTCTGGGTATTTCCATGGTCTGATCGATTATTTCCTCCCCCAGTTTGGGGAAGTTTTCAGCAATTATTTCTTCAAAGACACTTACTATCCCTTTTTGTCTCTCTCCTTCTTCTGGTACCCCTATAATGCAGATATTGTTCCTTTTGGATTGGTCACACAGTTCTCTTAATATTGTTACATTCCTGGAAATTCTTTTGTCTCTCTCTGTGTCAGCTTCTCTGTGTTCCTGTTCTCTGATTTCTATTCCATCAATGGCCTCTTGCATCTCATCCAGTCTGCGCTTAAGTCCTTCCAGAAATTGTTTCATTTCTGTAATCTCCCTCCGGACTTCATCCCTTAGCTCTTGCATAGTTCTCTGAAGATCCACCAGCATGGTTATGACCTTTATTTTGAATTCTTTTTCAGGGGTATTGGTTAGGTCTATCTCCCCAGATTCCTTCTCAGGGGAGGATGTCTGAGTTAGTCTGGTTTGTATCAAATTCTTCTGCCTTTTCACAGCAATAGAGGTAGTTGTGGGGAGCTGGCATGTGTGTTGGCTGGGAGAACGTCCCTTCTTGCTGATTTGTGGCCTTCCTCTCCTGGGAGAACAGAGACCTCTAGAGGCTTGTGCTGGGCAGCTGCACGCAGATGGGGTCTCTGATTCTTGCCTGGCCACTGTGGAGTTTATCTCCGCGGTTGCTGTGGGTGTGGCCTGCCTCGGGCTGCTGCTCTGATATGGCAGAGCCACATCGGAGGGGAAATGGGTGGGAGGCTGTTTCTCGCCATGAGGGGCCTCCAAGCTGTGCTGCTGCCCAAGGGGTTAGGGCACCTGGAGTTCCCCAGGTTCCCAGCTGATGGGCTAAGTGTCCCAGGATGCTTCCATCCAGCTGTGGGGTCCCTGTCCCTTTAAGACTTTCAAAAAGCACCCACTTTTCTTTGTCCCAGGGGCACCAGCTGCAGGGACCCACTTGCAGGTTTTACTGTCCTGTTTCCCTAGCTTCCAGCACCCCATGCACTGTGTGTCCATGCTCTGGGGTGGATGGCTAGGGCTGGGTGTTTAGCAGTCCTGGGCTCCCTCTCCCTCCCTGCTCCAACTCCTCTCCTCCTGCCCAGAGCTGGGGTGAGGGGCGCTCAGGTCCCGCCGGGCTGTGGCTTGTATCTTACCCGCTTCGCGAGGCGCTGGGTTCTCGCAGGTGTGGATGTAGTCTGGATGTTGTCCTGTGTCTTCTGGTCTCTCTTTTAGGGAGAGTTGTATTTGTTGTATTTTCAAAAATATATATGGTTTTGGGAGGAGATTTCCACTGCTCTACTCACGCCGCCATTTTTACTCCCGCCTTTCATTTTAAGATACACTTTTTGTGGCAATAAGTTTCTCCTAAGCATTTCTTTATCATCTCCTGAGTTTCAGTATCATAGATTCATTATTACCCAGTTCGATACATTTTCTGGTTTTCAGTTTTTTAACTGAAAGGGGATTTATTATTCTGCATTTAAAATTTAAAAGGGAGCAAGAATACAACTTGTGTAAAATCAGTAATGTGACTCTTACTCTACTGGAATTTTATGGAAAACTCACTGTTGTGTCCATGAATAGTAGATGGGTAAGTTTCCCTCAATATTGTTACTGATTTACAAACATATTTTGATGAGGTTTTGAAGAGATTTGTTTTATTACCTCAATTTTAGGCTAAAGGTTACCACTGTAATAGCTTTCCTTCTTGTTATCCTTTTTGTCTGATCATTTCTTATGTTCCCTAGTTTCTTGGTTAGTACATTTTTATTTCTTTTCTGACTCCTGGATAATTTAGAGATATAGTGCTTAGTTCCCAAGTGGTTGGGATTTTCTAGTAATATTTTTGTTACTGAGTTTAATTTTATTGTAGTCAGAAAAAATACTGATTTCAGTCATCTGAAATTTGGTATCCTATTTGTACTTTAGAAAATAATGTTTCTGTTATTGGGCAGTATTCTATTTTAATGAGATAAAATTTGTTAATTGTATTGTTCAGATCCTCTATAGCTCTACTATTTTTATCTATTTGTTCTATCAGCTACTGAGACTGTAGAGAATTTGATTTTGCCATTTTCTTTGCTTTGTAATTTAAAGATGTTATTGGGTGCATATAGATTTATAATTATGATATATTTTTGTTGGACTGTATGATTTTTATTAAATGTTTCCTTTCTCTTTTGTGATGCTTTTTGCCTTAAAATCCTTGTCTGATACTAGTGTAACACCACAGTTGTGGGGTCAGGTGTGCATGGTGATATCCTCTCCATCCTTTTGCTTTGGCCTTTCTGTGTTCTTAAAGTGTGTCTCTCATGAACAGCACATACTTTTAAAAAAATCCTTGGACAATTCTAGTATAAATTTCTAGGTTAACGTTTTTTCCCCCCAGCATTTTAAAGATGTTATTTCATTGTCTTCGGGCTTCCACTGTTTCTGTTGAGAAGGGAGCTCTCAGTTTAATTGTTGATCCTTTGAAGATGAAGTATATTTTTTCTTCTGGCTGTCTTTAAGATTTTCTTATCACCTTGTCCCCCAGGAGTTTGACAGTGAGATGCGTGTGTGTGTGTTTTTGTGTTTAAAAAGCTAAACTCCAGACTTTACTGGAATTTCACCAGTTTTTCCATAAACATCCTCTTCTGTTTCAGGATCCAATCTAGGGCACCACATTGCATTTCATTGTCAGGTTTCCTCACTCTGCCTTGGTGTGTGAGTTTCTCAGTCCTAAATTGTTTTTCATGACACTGTCTAGAGTAGTGGTCAGACTAGCCTGTAGAATGTCCCATGACCTGGGTTTGTCTGACATTTTTCTCACAATTACACTAGGGTTATGGAGTTTTGGAAAGGATCTCAGAGGTGAAGTGCCCTTTTTGTGTGAGATTTACTGAGCTGATTAAGTCTGTGGGTTGATGTGCTTCATCAATTTTGACCAGTTGAGTTTTGGCAGCAGATACTATGCCAGTTCCAGGTGTAGGTCCTCGGAAGCATCACTTGTCTTCTTACCCCTCTAGCTAGCATGCTGGCCCATGTGCCTGAGAGACCCACAGATCAGACCTGAGCCCAACCTGCAACTTCCAGCCAAACAATTCTGAGCTCCACCTAGATCAAGTGGTCCCTAGATGTCCTGTAGATATATGAGCAAGAATAAATCACCATAGTTTTGATCCATTGAGTGTTGGGTGTGTGCTCATAATTGCAACAGCTGGCTGATGCAGAGCTAGGGACTCTCATGGTTCCTTCTTCCCCATCCTGAGCAGTCATGCTGGGCACCTGGTACTTACCTACTTCTTCCAAGTCAGAGGTGTCCTATAGCATTCCTTCACCTCCTTTCCCTCCCTATGATTAAGTCTAAAAATAGCCCCAGATCCAGAGGGTCAGCACTGACCTCACTTCCATTCCTCTCAGCAGCACGATGAGTCTTAAACAGAACAGCATCAGGGAAAATTTCAGCATAAATATATTTTCTCCAGAGAGGAAAATTACAAAAAGATAAACAAAACAAGCCTCCTCCTCTCTGTGGAATGATTTATGTGAACTCTCTAACCAGCAGTTAATTGTCATGCAGCAAAATAACTATAGGTTATTAAATACAATACTAATCAAGTTTTATTTGACAATAATATTAAATTCTATTAATTTATTCTCAGACACCTGTTGATCATGTAGTAGGACAATCTGCTCATACAACAAAAAATATTGAAGGTATATGACCACTCTCTGGAGCCTGGGTAAGTGCCGATGGCTAGGACAGGGGGGGAATGGCTTGGACAGAGTGGGAGCTGGCTCGGTCCACTTCTCTCAAGTTATGAGTACTCTGGGCTGGGGTTTCGTGGGCTTCTATAGGCCCAGAACTTTGCTTCAGGATGAAGCAGGAGTAGGAGGGGGAGGAGGAGGCAGGGTGCAGGACACAGCTGTCCCCTTCCATGGTAACTTTTCTTCCCTCCACCAGTCCAAACCCTGGCCCTAAGCCCTGCCCTCCACCCCATTACCCCAGCCCATGTCTGCTTTCAATTTCTCAAAGCACTCCACCCTGGCAGTAGTACATTTTGGCTCTAATGGTCTATCACCTATTGCCCCCTAATCAGGCACTAAGCTCCCTGAGGCCAGGCACTGCATCCTCTACACCTCCTGGGATCTTGCCTATGCACCACTATGGTGCCCACGAACTTTTGGGCTGGAAGATTCCACACAAGGAGTGAGATGGGAGTGGGGGTTCTGGGGGCTGACCTGGGGGAGGAGGGGAGGCTGGTGGCAGCTGTGTAGCCCTCCTCTTACCCTGACAAAGGCAATTCCTCCTTCTGATGGTGAAGGGGATTGCTTCTTACCCCCTAAGTCTTGGTCCTGCCTGACCAGTGAGTTGTAAAGGAGAGAATGAAGGGAGAACATCCCAGAGGCCATGAGAGCATGGGGAGGCAGAACCAGATGGGGAGATGGTGTTTAGAGGGCGAGGCCACTAACCTTTCCTGAGCACCGGCTATGAGCTAGCCACGGGGCCAGGCACTCTGCGGACAATTTCTTTGCAACCTTTGAAGGAGGCATTATTTCACCCCTTCTTAGTGCTGAAGGAGTGGAGGCTCTAAGAAACTAACTTTCTTCTAGTCACTGGGCTAGAAGTAACAGTTGCTACTGAATGGAAGCCTGTCCTCTCCCCCAGGATCTCAGATCCAGAAAGGGGTGCCAAAGTAAAACTGTTCCAGGTCCTGGCAAGAGAGATAAAGTGTTAGTGCTGTCTTTCAGAAGACTCAGGGAACTTGAGAGAGAGAGAGGTGGGGAGAATGATACTGAGGTCAGGAAAGAAAAGCCACCTGACCCCAGAGTAGAGGAGATTCAACTCCAGACACAAAGGTTCCCCAAGTCTTTGACAAAGTAGGTGGAGTGGGGGTGGGGGCAAGGATTGGGAGAGGAGGCCAAAGCCACATCCCAGAGCACCAGAGCTTCAAGTCTTTCTTCCAGAAAGGATCCTAGACTGTGCTGGTGGTCAGAGCCCCTGGAGGTGAGCTCACCTACCCACTCCTTTCCACCATGAGGAGTCTGAGGGGCTGGGTCCTCTCTTTAATGCCTGTTTCTTTCCCAGACAGAGCGCTGAGGCCCAGAAACCATCAATCCCCTGCCCCTGACCACTGCAGAGCCCACAGCAGGACCCTGACCCAGCAGATGGCTGTTCAGTTCTCCATGGGGGATGAGACCCTCATAGACAACTCTCTGGGGAGGAGGCTCAGAGGAGGCTGCCCCAGGCTTCCTGTCCAGGCTGCTGCAAGGCCCTCAGGGCAGAGCCCCGCTGAAAGTCATGATGGGCAGGCAGAGGAGGGAGCCGAGGTCCGGTGCGGCATGGGTCGGTGGGCAGGCAGGCCTCTGGGGCAGGGGGCAGAGGTTGCTCTTCTCTGGCTTGTAGCAGGGTGAGACCTCACACCTGTGGGGCAGGGAAGGCGTCAGGGCAGGCCTCCCACCCCTCCAGCTTTTTCCAGGCTTCTAGATGGTGGTGGTACAAGGGATGTGCAGAAACTGAACCCTTCCCTGGGACCCTGTTTTGCTGAAGCAGAGTTGAGGGCTCCCATTCCTACCTGACCACACTTTGCAGGATCTTCCTCTCATCCTGGTCCAGACACACAGCAAAGGGACAGCTATTGGAGCCAATAATCTGCACCTTGTCCACTTTGATTTGCGATGTGCTAATCTGGAAGAAGGCCCAGGTCAGCTTTCGAACCCCTGGCCCTGGAGCTGTCAGCTCTTAGCAGTTCCTTTTCTTAAATTGCCCAACCAGGTCAGGGAGAGGGGGCAAGAGTTTGGCCAGCAGCTCTCTAGAGCTAATGGCCTGCTAAGGAGAGGGGTCCAGAGGCTTCCACCAGCCCCCTCCTCCTCTCCAGCTGCCACTCTTTCTTGAGTCTGAAAGAATCAAGCTCTTCTGCGGAAAAATCCCAGTGCCCACTGCCTTTACTGTAGTGCCCCAGGGTCTTCTGACATGGAGGCTGCTCCGCCTCGGACTCAGGGCTCTCCACGGTCTCAGAAACCATTTTCACACATACGCCTTCTCACACCACCAGCCCACAGCATTGCACACCTGTCAACCCTGAGGTACACCCCTCACCCTGTGTCTCCTCTCCCACTGGCCTGGCCGCCGTGGCCCTCGGACACCCCTCCTCTCTCTCATACATATGCATGCTTGCACACATGCCCACTGAGTCTCCTGAGGATGTGGCTGGAAGGAGGGGGAAGCCTTACCTGGTTAAAGCCCTTCTTGGATTTGGGGTTCTGCCTTTTCACCACTTCTGTCAGGTTTAGCATCAGGGCCTCCATGCTGGAGTCTGAAGAGCAGGGGCGGCTCAGGCCAGGCTCAGAACCCTCCCTGCGCCCCCTGGGCCCCTGAGCCCCGCTCACCCAGCTCCTCTTGCTTCCGGCAGGCCTTATTGAGGTTGACCGAGGTGCAGACCTTCTCCATGTTACTCCAGCGACTCCGCCCACTGATGGCCCCCTGCAACGGCAGTGGACCCTGAGCGGACCCTCTCGGGCTTGGAGGAGGAGGCTCCAGACCTGCCCGCGGCGTGGAGCTGCCCGAAGTCAGCAGAGCCCAGGAGCTGCTGGCTTCTTTACCAGGAGCCCTCTGACCTCTGTAAACTCATGACACCAGGGAGGAGCCTCAGGTCACTGACACGGTCTGTGGGTCAGCCTTGTGACCAGGTCGTGGGGCACAAGAGCTGAGAGCCCCTTGAGGAGTGGTCTGGACAATTTCCTGCTGAGCCCACACAAGAAAGAAAGGGGCTCATGGGTATGGAGTCCCAGGCAGAGCCAGACTGGAAGCCCCTCTTTGGGTCCTTGTCTGAATGTCTCTTTCACGGGGTACTTCGTTGTTGCCAAACCTAAGAATGTTTCTTGGGCCTCAACTTCCTAAGCCTTTCAGGAGACCTGGATTCTGTTCTCTGCTCTCCTCTCCTGGGTTTCCAGAACAAGCACTCCTGGGCTGCCCAACACCACTGGTTGGGGCCTTTGCCCTGCATGACCATCCCCCTTGGCCGCTAGCACATGATGCAGGTTTCAGGACCTTCTCCTGGGTCCTCTGCTCTTTGCACTCCTACTGGCCCCTTTAGGGAACCGCACCCGTGCCCCTTCTCCAGGACCACCTCTACACCATCTTCGCGTTTCACCTGAGCTCGGGCCACACATCCCGCTGTGCATTCTGGTTTCTCCTCCTGCCTCTCAAGGGCTCCTCAAGTTCAGCATATGCAAACTCATGATCTTTCCCCACCAGACCTGGGCTTCCTTGGAAAATGGTACTACCAGTCCCAGAAGACTGAAATCCAGGAGTATGGGCTCTCCCTTTCTAATCCATCCCTCGGCCCTGCGGCTCACATAGTCCACATACAGCTCCTGTTTCTCCTGCTCTCCACAGCCTCCCTCCACCAGGGCAGATGCCCACACTTCTCTCCTGGGCACCCACCACAACCTCCTGCTTGGCCTTCTTCATCCCCTGTGAGCCCTCCAACTGTTCTTCACTGCATTGCTAGATGGAGTTTCCAAACCTCAAATCTGACCATGTCAAATACATTTCCAGCCCCACCCCAAACTTAAGCCCCTTCAACGGGTACCCATTTGTTCTTAGGACAATGACAAAACTCCTCCCACTGCAATCAAAGCCCCTGGGGTTCAGGCTGTCCCAGTTTCCTTAGCCTCACTTCATCGTCATGCCCTACCCATTCTGTGCTCCAGCCCATCTGGCCTTCCTTCAGTGCCCTTTGTGTTCACATTCTCTCTACCACAGGGCCTTTGCATATGCTGTTCCCTCAGCCTAGAGGGTGCATCCCTTCTTCTTAACTTAATTGACTCCTGGTTTTCTCTTCAATTTTGACTTTATGTCCCTTCTCAAGGAAGCCTTGTCTAACTTCCCTGACTGTGCTGAATAATCTCCATGGAGGTTCTCACAAGACCACCTGCCTCTCCTTCACCTGTTTGTCACAGCTGTAATTCTACATCTTGTGGGATCATCTAACCAGTGCCTACCACTCACTTTAGACTGTAAGTGCTTTGTTTACCCTTGTGAACTCTCCTGCTCCTAGAACAACACCTAGCACCCAGTAGGTGTTCACAAATGCCTGACACAGAGCACTCACTGAGTGTCAGGCCTCCCTGCCCACCTTCTTGGCCAGCAAATGTAAAGAAGTCCCACTGTCCCTAACCCATCAGCCCTTTTATTGCCTGGTCTCCACTAATCACTCTGAGACATCACCTTAGCCCTTATCATTTCCTTGTTTTTTTGTCTGTCTCCCTCCTCTAGGAAAGTTAAAGGGAGGGCCTAACCTTCTCTGCTCACTGCTATTTCCCCATCAGCCCATTTATTGCCTGGTCTCCACGGATTACTCTGAGACATCACCTTAGCCCTTATCACTTCCTTGTTTTTTGTCTGTCTCCCTCCTCTAGGAAAGTTAAAGGGAGGGCCTAGCCTTCTCTGCTCACTTCTATTTCCCCTTACCCAGCACAGAGCTTGGCATGAGTAGGGGCTAAATAAATTAATATCTTGGGAATGGTGCACAGGAAGAAGAAAGGCAAGAAGGCGGGAGGTTCTCATCTGGGAGGTCAAGCTCCCATGCCCTGTGCCCCAGGGTGTGAATGCTCAGACTCTTGCCCTCTGGTGTGCTCATGGGTACCCCCTCCCACCACACCCCCCAAATCTCCTTACCGTCCCACCAGTCCCACCTCCCATGGACCCAGCCAGGCACACTGGTCCCTGCAGACCCTGACTACGCCTGTGCTCTGCCTCTAGAAGCCTCACCGACCCTCCTTCCCCCCACAGCCAGCCCTACATCCAGCCCCTAAGCTGGAAGCTTGAGGGAGGGGAGGCCCCCGCCTTCTCTCAGCATGGGGATGGAGAGTCGGGGGCCCAGGGGAGCCTGCTGCAGCTTCCAGCTTAAACACTGGGGCCCAGGAACGTGAGTGTGGCTCTGGGTGAGGGCCCTGGGACCCAGCATGAGTCTTACCTTGCTATAAATAATCTGTAGTGTCAGAGGGACAGCCTCCCGGTCACCATCAATGCCCAGCCGCTTGCAGCCAGGACCTGTGCCACATGGACAGATGCCCTCTCATTTCTGGGGCCCCACCTCCCAGGGCCCTGGCCTCCCTGCCCATCTCCCTGGGGCTTAGCAGCACCCACCCGAAGCCTTGATGGCACGCGTGGCAGCAGAGTGACCCAGCTCCAGGGATTGGATGAAGATCTCTGTCGTCTTTTCCCCAGTGATGAAGGTCAGCTGGAGCGGGCAGGTGCAACGGCATCAGCGAGCACCCCTGGAGGGGCCACCAGGCTCCTCCAGCACAGGGCTGCTGGCTGCCAGGGGGTGGGCGATGCTGACCAAGGCCTTCAGGGAGACCAGGGAGCGGCGGGAAGGGGCGGCCAGGGGCCTTACCTCTGTCTGATAGACCTGCAGCAGCACAGGCCGGGCAGCGAAGCGGCAGTAGTAGAGCAGCATGTCTGCCAGGATGGGCAGCTGAGCAGGGGGCTCCTCCAGGGCCTGGGGCTCAGCCTTCAGAGACTGCTGGGGGTTGAGAGATGGGCGGGCAGAGAGAGAGGCAAATGAGAGGAGGAAGAGGCACATACACACATAGAAGGAGATATAGAGCCAGGAAGGACAAGGACACACGGCCAGGGGAAGACCCACAGGTGCCACCCGGGAGGGCCCTGGCTGAGCTGGAAAAAGCTGGGGGCCAAGGAAGGGGGCTGAAACCTAAGGACCCCTGGACCTTTGGGAAGGCTCCCCATCACTGCAGTTACCCCCTGCTTTTGTTCCCAGTGCTCTGAGCTCTGGCTCAGTCCTGCTTATCGCCCCCTCTCCCTGGCCCTCCATGGAGGCCTCAAGCTGGAGCCTCCAAAGTCAGGGCCCGCAATGTGAGGCTGGGTGACCACAGTCGGGGGGCCCTCTCCCCCAGCCCCAGGGGCGCTTACCTGGCAGAGGACTTCAGGGGGCAGGTGCATGAGGCCCAGCACGTTGCGCTCATACCAGGGGTCGAGCATGCCGAGGTAGTGGGAGATGTCATTGGTGCTCTCCTCCCACGGGGCCGGGCCCAGCTCCTGGGGCAGGGGGCAAGAGTCACTCCCAGCTAGGGAGGCCTGCTGCCATAGCCCCAGGGCTCCGAACGGCACAGAGAGCCCTAACCTGAGCTTCTCCCTACCCTGGGGGAAGTCTGACAACTCTCAGTCTATGTCATACAGCAAAATCCCGCCCCAAGTGCAGGGCAGGAGTGAGCCCAGGCAGGGGGTGCCCCGTGAACACGCGTGCCTGCCTTCAGTGACTCCCAGCCAGCCCCCTTCAGGCAATGGGAACCCGTTCATGTCCACTCTACTCTCCCACCCCGTGTGGTCCAGGGCTGAGGACATACTGCAGGGCCGGGGTGCCTTGGGGAGTCTGTGGGGAGGGTGGGCATCTGGCCCGGATGGGCTGGGCAGGCACTGGTGCTGGTCCCATGGCTTCGCTTCATGGGCACGTAGAAGAACTGCAGCTTGAAGAACTGGGTGAGCAGGGGGCGATTGTTCTCCAGCCGCCTGGCAAGAAGATGGTAAGGAGAGGGTCCCTTGGTACTTCTCAGACCCTAGGCCTAAAGCCCAGACTCCACCAGCACCCTGCTACCCAGGGCAGGGCAAAATCCCCGTCAGGGTCTCACCGCAGATTGCTATATGCCCGAGCCACCTTCCCCGAAATCCGATCGGAGCCAAAGACCACGACACGTAGCGTGGAAGCCTTGGGGTCCTCATCCCCACTCAGGAAGGGGCGGCGGCGCTGGGGGCGGGAGGCAGGGGCCAGGAGCCAGCTGGGCAGCTGGGTGCTGAGCTTGGGCTGGGGCAGGGAGCGGGAGCGCTGGGCCCGGCTGGGGGGCAGTGCCGAGCTGTCCAGTGGGCTGCAGAGGCTCCCGGCCCTCCGCAGTGGAGAGGCCGTGTCTGGGCTGCCCTCCAGGACCCGAGAGTCCCTCCGCAGTACCAGCTGGCTGGTGCTCTTGAAGAGTTTATAGATCCTGGTGAACTTCTGCCCAGGCCTGCGATGGCCTCGGCGCTCCCGGCTGCCCGGCCTCCTGGGCCACTCGGAGGGGCTCTCCTCACTGTCCTCCATGTAGCCACTGTCCACGCCATCCGAGAGGCCTGAGACAAAGGAGGTCAGCAACTGGCGGGAGAGGGTGGGCCCTGAGGCCTGGGATGAGGCAAGGGACAGGGTGGAGTCCCGGGAGGCTGCTGAGCTGGTGGAAAGCAGAGAGTCCCTCTCAGCACAATGCCCGTCGGTTTCTAAGTCCTCCTCCTCTTCCTCCTCCTCCTCTTCCTCCTCCTCTTCGTCATCCCCCAGGATCCCTGGCTGGAGCAGCTCCTGTTCCTTGAGCAGGATTTCCTGCAGGATGTCTGCAGGGAAACAAGGGGAGTCACCACCTGGGTATCTGGGCCTTGAAATCCCCCCTGCTCACCCTTGGGAGGGGCAACAGGCCAGACAGACTAGAGAAGAGGGTCAAGGGAGGGTCAAGGCCAGCCCAGGACTCAGAGCAGTGCCCCCTACTCTGCTTAGAGCCTGCTCTGGTGGAGAGTTGGTGGGACTGGGAAGCAGCTGGCAGGGTGGGCCCCCCAGGGCCACTTACCAAAGCTGTCTTGGCTCCAGCTGTAGGTGTAGCACCTGGCAACAGGGATGGGGATGGTGTGGAGCCTGCCAGGCTTTGCAGAGTCTGTAAGAACAGTGGGGGCAGGAGGGGAGGACTGAAGGGGCTGGGACTGGCCAACCCAGGCCCTTCAACTTAGAGGAGAGGGCAGAGCTGGGGAAGGATGGGCACAAGCCACACAGCCGGGTGGACTGAGGTGGAGTTGGAGGCTGGGATGCCTGGCAGAGGGTCTTTTTTCAAGGACACCATGGAAATGCCATAAGCTTTTATGAGCTGTGTGAATGTGGCCAGGTCACAACCTCTGGGCCTCATTTTACGGGGTACTCACAGGAAAACAATGGCACCATCTCATCAGGTATTGGTAAGGAATACTGTGTCCCTTCTTCCATAATACAATTGTAGACAGGATGTTTCCTAGACTCCCCAGGGGCAAGGTGTGGCCACGTGACTATAGGGGGCTTAAAGAGTACATGCAGACATGATGCATGCAACTTCTGCATTATCTTCAGTGTAAGAACAAAGCCCCCTGCCCTCAATTAGCATCCTCTTCTCTTCCCACCAGCTGCCACATGATGGCAACCCAACCCTAACTCTGCAGACGGGAGCCACGCCCTCTGGGGTGGTGCAGCGACAGGATGCTGAAGTACCTGGGTCCCTGAATGAGCATGTGGAGCAGAACCACCAGGCTAATGTGGACTGCTCACCTGAGCTACAACAGGCCAGGGGAAAACAGGCCCTACCCTCCCAAGGGCCTTACCTAAGACGCCAGGGAATCCGGCTTTCTCTCCCACTGCCTGCAGCTTGGTTTTGAGCCACTGCCGGGCCTCAGCTGCATCCCCAATGCCAGACGCCAGCTCCTGTGCCTCTGCAGTCTCCGTGAAGATGTCCTCGAGCTCCGTCAGGGTCTTGGACTGAAACCCCCGGAGGACACAGGCTTGCTGCTGTGTCACAGCTTGGCTGCCTGACTTCTTGAGCTCCCAGGATCTTACTGAAGTCAGCAGTGACCGGTCTCCTGCCTCACCACCCACCTCTACCCATGGCTGATCAGGGAGCCAGGCCTCCACCCCCAACCCCTAGTCTCAGGAAATGGGATGAGAGAAGGCCCAGAGCCAGAGCACTGCCAAGTTGGGAGGGACTTCAGAGCTCATGACTGCAGCCCAGAGAGGGGAAGGGCCACCTAGGGCCACAGCTGACCTGTCACAGAGCTAGGACTAAAGCCAGGTCTTCTAGCATTAGTCTAAAGCTTGGTCCTATACCACCTGGTCCAGGCCGTCCTCTCAAGCTCTGTGCCCAGCCTCACTGCTCAGGGGACCACCCACCTCGGTCAGGACCCAACACAACAGAAACCCTCTCAGTGGGGCTACCCTCCAGTCACTGTCCTGCCACATCGCTCAGGATGAGAGAGGCCAGTGTACCCCAAGACAGAACCTGGAGAGGGGCTCTGCCACCTCGGAGAAGTGCTCTGCTGGAAGGAGGGCCCAGGCACTTACCTGCAGCCTGCAGTGCAGACTTGGGAGGTCACAGTGGGCCCCAAAAGTGGCCTGGAAGGCGTGTAGGAGCAGGGTGGTGTAGGTGCTGTGGGGCGAGGGCCCGGGCGCACTCAGCTTGTTGGCCACAGCGAGGAACTCAGCCTGCACCTCCACGGGGTTCAGCAACAGCACGGTGCTGCGGACACAGGACTGGCTAGGGACCCAGCCACCCACCTCCTACCTGCCAGTGCCTGGCTCTCTGAGGCCTGGGTCTCCTCACAGCCCAGAGAGCCGAGGGGTCTCAAGGGTCCCAGTTCCAAGAGGAAAGTGCATGGTCTACTTCTGAGAGCTTTTTAGCTGGTGCCTTCAAAGGTATCTTTTAAAAACTGAACTTAATTTTCAAAAATAAATTTTACCTTCATTTTTATATAAATATCTTTCCTACAGGGCATCTGAACGAATGCAAGATTACTCAAAAGAAGACTAGAGGGCTGTGTTTTAGGTGAGGTGACTGGAAGCCAGGCAATCATTCCTGGGGAGGGGTCAGGGGAGGGGTCATACCATGTGACCTGAAATTTCAGCCTGTGCCCTGATCCTCAAGCCAAGAGTCATGGCTTGGGGTGGCACCTGCCAGGAGGAGGGGATGCCAAGTCAGGGCTGCCTTTGGTTCCCCTGCTCAGAGGAGATGCCTTGCTAACTTGCCACAGCCATCACCCAGTCCAGCATCGGGCTGGGAGAGGGAGCGTGCACCCAGCCACCTCTGCCTCCCCTCCCACTGGACCCTGGGCTCCCCCTGGGTGCCAGTGTTTAAATTTGTTCATTATGGAACATTTCAAACACACCCAAATGTTAAGAGAGTCATGAACCCTGAGGTGTGGACCACTCGATTAACAGTTAACAACACACAACTGTCCTCACTTCACCCATGCCAACCCTCCGTTGCTGCGTTTTCATGAAGGGCACTCGAGCAGTGGTGGTGTTGTCGCTGTGGATGCTTCAGGAGGGGCTGCTCACAGTGCTTTCGCGCTCACACATCCCTGCTGTGTTTAAACCCTGGGCAAAGAAGCACCATGCGTGTGGTGTTCCCGCCAGTCTCTGGACGGCCGTCCCCAGGTCAGGGCCTGGGGACAGGACCAGGCTCTGTCAGAAATCCCGTCATTTAGGGAGAAACTAATTTTGATTTCTCTGCTTGCAAGAAAAAGGGGGTAGGCTCACATAAGCAGTCCCTTCCTGGGCCCCTCTTCTTCACCAAGCGCTCGATCTCCTTCCACAGGTGTGCACCGAGCTCCACACATGCTGCCCCACTTGCATGCTTTCTCTGCATCCTTGTGCCCAACTTACAGGCAACCAAAATGAGAGCACCTCTGAGCTCTAAGATCTTTCTACAACCTTCTCTGTGCCTCGGTTCCCTGATCTAAAAATACCTTATATATATATATTTTTTTTTTCTATTAAAGTATCATTGATATACAATCTTACGAAGTTTTCACATGAGCAACACGGTGGTTACAACATTCACCCATATTATCAAGTCCACACCCCCTACCCCACTGCAGTCACTGTCCATCAGGGTAGTGAGATGCTACAGTCACTCTTGTTTTCTCGGTGCTATACTGCCTTCCCCGTGACCCCCCTACATTATGTGTGCTCATCATAATGCCCCTTACTCCCCTTCTCCTCCCCTCCCCACCCATCCTCCCCAACCCCTTCCCTTTGGTATCTGCTCGGGTAACTGCTCATTCCTTCTTGGGGTCTGTGAGGCTACAGCTGTAAAAATACCTTTCTTATAGAATTAATCTGAGGATTGCATGATGTAACAATGCTTAGAACAGTGCCCAGAGCTCAGTAAAAGCCTAAAAGGGGGTGGTGCTTATTCACCAGATGTCTTATTTACCAACTATACAATACTTTTATGCCCTTTTTTGTCTCTCAAAATATACCACAGGCTTTTTTGTTTTTTTTCTGCTTAGAAGGAACTCAACAAATGTTTGCTCTTGGTGTGAATGTGCAGCGACCCCCTGAGGCTGAGGATGGGAGGAAGGAATTGGGGTGATTACACTTTCTGGGCTGGTGCAGGGGTCTCTGGGCTCCCAAGTGTCTAGGTGAGAGAGCACCCACATGCTTGGAGACACACCAGGGGGTCCTCGGAGTTAAGCCTTTTCCTTTGGTGCTTTTCAAACTGCAGGCTGGGACCCATGAGTGGGTCCTGGAATCAATTTGGGGTCATAATCAGAATTGCCCTTCAAATGAAATAGAATAGCACAGCATGGAGCCCACCCTATGGGGTTGGGATAAGTTTCCTTTCCTAAAACTCATTTCACCTCTGTGTGTGTGTATACACCAGGCTTTTATATAAAATGCATTTTTTTTTACTGTAGGTCCCAGTCAAAAAAATTTGGAAAATGCTGTTTTAGTTAATAGGCAGAAAGACACTGTAGAAAGAACATGAGCTTCTGAGTTAAGCCAGGTTCAAATCTGGGCTCAGACACTCACTAGCTGTGTGACCTTGGGGAAGATACTTGGCCTCTCTGACCTCCAGTTTCCTTATCTGAAAAGTGGGGGTAAAGTGAGGTAATGTGTGCCCAGCACCAGGCACAATAAATGCCAGTGGTTTTTAAACTTTTTCTTTTTTAAAATCTTGGACCTAATTAGGGATGTGATGAAAGACTTTCAGCCCAGAAAAACACACCTATTACAAACCACCACTACAACCCAGTGGGTTCTAGTCCCATTGAAGTCTGTTTGTTGGTGGCTGGGGCGGGAGGGAGTGCAGTGATCGAGGGAATGCCAGATGCACAGGGTGGGGGCGGGCTGGCACAGGAATGATGAAACAGTGGGGGTCCCACATCCCACCCATAGCTCCCCACCCCAGAGCACTCACACGGTGGAGCTGCGGTGATTCCTAACAGGCAGGCCCTGCTCAGCCCTCACCAGGCGCTGGTAGGAGATTCCTGTGGCCAAAGAAAGCAGTTTGTGGGTTTATCTGCTCCTTCAGCACTCATGGCCCCGTGCCTCCCTGTGGGCCCGGCAATGGACAGCTGGGTTGGGAGCTCCTGGATGCTGTTCAGGACATGGAGCAGATCAGACCTGTGGCCTCCTAGGCCTTTCAGTCTGTTTCCAGGCCCCCCATCCAGTGCCCCACAAAGCCTCCCTCTTCAGAGACTGTGAGCAGAGCCCTGGGAGGCGAACCAAGGCCCAGGAGATGGCTGCTCCCCAATCCTCGGCCCAGGTGTCCTGCAGCGGTTGAGCTCAGTTCCAGCACCAGCAGGGTGGTGAGGTTCCCAGCATCTCTGGCTTGTGTCCCACACACTCTCAGGGTCCCTCTAAGGCTGAGCCCTGCCTCTGCGCCCCGCATCCCTCCCAGCTTCCCCTCCAGCCTCTTCGACTTCTCCATCTCCTCTGACTTCGGACGCACCAAGAAGAAACAAACGGAAAGTTTTTCCTCTTTACTGCAACATGACTCACTTCTGTAGCTGGAAAACAGACCCTTTAGAGTATGTATTCAGTTCTTTGTCGACTGCAGAGAGGAGATATATCAAGCGTTCGCTCTCCTCATCAGCGAGAATAACAGAAGCAGGGACTAGGATGCAGGGGGGCAGCTGGCTTCCTTGCTAGAGCTTGGAAATCATCAGGGTGGCCCCCGACAGGGCTTGGGGAGTGGGGCTTGAGCTGTGAGCAGGAAGGCAATCCTGTTGCAGAGGTGCAAAGCCAAGATGGGGGTTAGAGATGGCTGTAAGTGGAGAGGCCATGCTTCTTGTTCAGTAAGTGACAGAAAATCACCGATTTATGCTATTCTAATTTAGGATCTAATCACTTTGATTTGCGGCCTTTCATTTGATGTTTCTTTTATGTAATTGTCACATGTTTAGAAGTTAATGTTATATCTATTTTGATAGGCAAGTTCCTGAAACAGTGGCCATAACTATAGGACTCGGGACACCATCTGGTGGCTGCTCACATGCATGACAGAGAAGAGCTCCCTGGGCCTCCTCTGGCCCCCCAGTGAAATGCTGCAGTGGAGACAACGTTCACCCCCTGCCCCAGTCTCCCTGGCTGCAAACACACAAAAGCAAGGTCTTCTCTTGGCCCTTCTGCACCTTTCTTCTATAATATGATACTTCGGTGAGTAACCCATGTCCTGCTGACCCATCACTTTACTCCCAATTCGGCCTCTACTGATGCAGGCCACTCCTGGGGGCAGGTGGAGGGGGGCGTGTGCCACAGGTGAGTTCACTCTCCCTCCACGGCAGGGCTCCTGCCAATCTCCAATCCCACAGTCCTCCTGAAGCTTGATGATGTTTCCTAGTCACAAAGCCCCACCTCGACCCTGAAATACCACTTTCTCTCGGAAGCTCACTTTTCCCTTTGAGTCTCATGACAAGGAACATTCTCTACTATCTTGTGCTTCCCCACCTGTTTATCTTGGGATGCTTTAATGGTTTCATTTGGGGATTGCTGTGTTAGAGCTGGGAGCTGCTTCCTACTAGCTCTGTCAACTCCATATAACCTTGAGTTTGCCTGATCTGGCTGCACTCACAGGGGATGTGCAGAGGACATCGCTGCCTCTTGGCAAACCCTGACCCAGAGGGACTGTTTCCAGGGCTGGCTGGCCATTGCTGAACAGCCCAGATACCAACAGCTCCCAGCTGGAGCACAGATCATCCGATGGAGCTCCCTCCAGCCTGCCCCTGACTCCCATCAAATCCCCCCTTCTTGGCTGCTCCTGATAATGGATGCCACTGCTTATCATGGGGGTGGAGTCTGGGGATAATGGATTGCTGGACTGGGACCTGAGTTAAGAGCACATTAGAAAAGATTGTGCAATGTACAGGGGGCTTTGAGCCTATAAACTTTGAGCAAAGTGACCTCTTTGAGTGGGCCAACTCCCCATGCGCTGGTATGCATTGTGGGATCAGAAATCTCTCCCAGTGTCCTACAGTCAGGTGGACCTCAATTTTCGTTAGGTTACCTGATGCTCCAGGGGGCTGTGCCTGCTGGGGATGGAGTGGTATCATTCTCAGGGCAACCTTCCCCTCTCCCTCCCTCCACAGGAAGGTGACATCAGGAGCCTCAGGGTGATAGGTGCCTCTCCTCCTTTGGTTTTATCACCCCCATTCCCGTAGCAGATGAGAACAACTTTCTGGGGTTGGCTTTCTTAGACCAAGGCTGGTCCAAGAGCTGAACAAAGTCTTGCCAAGGCTATCCCTGCATCAGGTCCTGACAAGTGGGAAAGGGAAAGAGCCACCTCACGCAGGTGCAGGATGGGTGCTGGTGGGCTTAGCAGGCAGTGGGCAGTCTCGGCAAGGGGCAAGCACATCACCTGCGCATGTGACCCCTTCACAATCCTGGCTTTCTTTACCCAGTTAAGCTCCCGCCCCCTTTCAAAGCTGTGACTAGATATGGCCATTCTGCCCAGCACAGCTGACTCTGATGTTGGAGGAGGTGTGACAGTCATGGTTGTGTCACCAAACAAGAATTAGTACCACGGACACTCTTAGACATGCCCATACTAAGGATGGGGCACGGCGCTTGGGCAGACCTGAGGCAGGCAGGGACAACACTTTGATCCTCTTTGCCTATTAGTTCTCCTCTTAGAAGGCAATCACCCCAATTCTATGCAGCCAGCATACTAACATGAAGCGGGGAAGCAACCCAGCTTTAACTGTACTGTGACCCCTACATGAGATTACATTGCATTCCTTTTCCAGTATCTATGAGTCTGAGAATCTGATCTACATCATACCCTGACATAAACGCCCCTGGCAGTTGGGCTTCTCTTAAACTTTCCTCCCTTCTGGGGATCCCCTGAGCAGCACCTTCCTGCGCCCATCCCTGGGGTGCCGGATTCTAGAGAGTCTGGAGTAACTGGGGACTTGGGCCATGAGACCTGAGCATCCCTGGGCAGGAAGGTGAAGCACAGCCTTCGGTGTGCATAAAGCTGGGGAAGGATGTGACAAAGATGGTGAGCCTGGGAGCAGAAAGGCTGATGGCGGGAAGGGACGCAACCTGCGCCAGGTCAGGCAGGTGAGAGGGAGATAGTAAGGGAAGGAAGCCACTGGGCAGAGCTCCACACAGGCAGACCGGATTTGGTTCTTGGGAAAAAAAGGCTGATGGCAAAAAAAGACATATGCTGCTCAGAACAAGTGCACTAGCCCCACAGAGATGCCTGTGGGGTGAGGTTTCCCGCTTTGCAGAGCCATGAGGCCTGGGGGTAAGTGAAGTGAAGCCTGCCACCCTAATCCTAGACCACCCTGTTGAGGTCCCCCTGACAAGACCAGCCCAGGTCTTGCTAGTAAGTTATACATGGCATCCCCCTCCTTCTTTACTAATGGGACTCCGGGCGACAGACCCAGTTGATAAGTCACATTTCTCAACCTCCCTTACAGGTATTGGGAGGGTTTCTGGAAGACCCCTTTTTGCACCCCTCCTTCATTTCTTCCTTTCTGTAACTGGAATGGGGACGTGATGGCCAGAGCTCCAGCAGCCACATTTGACCATGAAGTGACCTTGAGGACAATGTTTTCTGCTGAGGATGATGGAGCAGAAAGATGGGAGAAGGCTGGTCTGTAACATTCGTGGGATCACTGATTCAACCTGGACTGCCTTCTACTGGATTTTTTTTTTCTTAATATAAGAGAGAAAAAAAAATCCTATGAGTTTAAGCCACTGTCCTTTTGGGCTTACTTTAATAGGCAGCTGGATTTATTAACTCATCACATCCTTGATTTCTGGAACAGCTGCCTTCCACTCCTCTCCCTAAATCCCCCAACCCCCCACCAATGATACTGTGATATATATTTGGTCTTAATGTCCTTTCTTAGCTTGAGGATCGTATCCAGGATCCCTAAATTGCATTTAGCTATTTCTCCTTAGCCTCCTCCAGAGTGTAACAATTCCTTGGTCTTTTCCTGGTTTCACCATTTTGACAAAAGAGTCCTGATCAGTTACTGCAGAATGTCCCTTCATTTGGGGTGTCTGATGTCATCCCAGGATCGGACTCACTCCATTTGTGAGGTTAGGCATTTGTGGCAAGAATAACAGAGAACTGATGTGTGTCCTCCCTGATTATTGTTTTTAATGGTAAAAACCTGTTTCACTGCCATTGTACTATCAAATACTCAAAAATTTAATCAGTATTTGTAATGTTTCTGTTGTTTTTGTTTAGAAAAACTGCTTTCAGTCAATCACGGTTAAGACCGTAAAAGCAGCAACTGGATTTCATTTGTAAGGTTTCCCCCCAACCAGTGACGTCCCTCACGTTTGGATTATTACCAAAGTGGGTGGAGGATGAGGTGCATCTCCCCTGACATTGTGGTATAATCACAAATATACATGTGGTCTTTGTCCCATTCCTGAGACAGAGCTCCTAAAACCCTTGTTATTTCCGGAGTGAGAGGGGTGAGAGGAACATCTTTTGTTGTTTATAACAAGGCCTTTTTAAAGGGACCTGAGTTTATGCTAATGGGGTGACTCCTGGTGGGCACCCCAGGAGAGCTTCAGCTGGAGGGAACAACCATATGATTAGAGGCTTTGAACTGTCAGCACCAGTCCCACACACCGGCTCCCCAAGAAGCTCCGGGGAGGAAAGAGGGGCTCAGAGATTGAGTTAATCACCAATGACCAAGATTTAATCAGTCATGCCAATTTAACAGAATCTCCATTAAAAACCCTAGGCAGTGGCATTCAGAGAGCTTTTGGGTTGGTGGATGCATCTACATGCCAGAAGGGCGGTACACCCCAACTCCACAGGACAGAGATTCCTACAGTAGGACCCTTATGGACCTCACCTTGTGCACCTCTTCATCTGGCTGTTCATCCATATCCTTTATAATATCCTTTATAATCAAGCAGTAAATGTAAGTAAAGTGCTTTCCTGAGTTCTATGAGCTGTTCTAGCAAATTGTGGAACCAGAGGAGGGCATTGCAGGAACCCCCAATTTATAGCTGGTCC